ATGACACAGTCCTTACCTTCTGTAAGCAAGTGACACTTGCTCTGGTACTTTTTAATTATGACATGATATGTATAAACCATTCATGCAACTTCATTTCTTTTTACAATGAACTTAAAACTGTAAATTTTATAGTGTATAATATATTTGGAAGAAATGTGTTTCCTTTACTCTTTATTTTGCAAGAAAAGTATTCTCTGCTGAATAAGCACATGAATCCAGGCTAATAAATAATGAAACTTGCACTCATTAAAGAAGTTTAGTTTAAGGACACTTTCTGAAGTTTTGCAGTTAATAACGAAGTATTTATAAGGCACCATAAGTAAAAATTAAGAAGAAAGGAGGTATTCTCCTTAGCAATATAATTAACAAACCAATAGGATTTAAAAATTTATTTTCCTTGCATGCTGTATTTTTAAAGTTATTCTTCCAGTTGATAAAATATGGTATAGTAGGCCAGCGCTGCGGCTCACTAGGCTGATCCTCCGCCTGCGGCACCGGCATCCCAGGTTCTAGTCCCAGTTGGGGTGCCTGATTCTGTCCTGGTTGCTCCTCTTCCAGTCCAATTCTCTGCTGTGGCCCGGGAAGGCAGTGGAGGACAGCCCAAGTGCTTGGGCCCCTGCACCCACATGGGAGACCAGGAGGAGGCACCTGGCTTCTAGCTTCAGATCGCCATTTGGAGGGTGAACCAACGGAAGGAAGACCTTTTTTTCTGTCTCTCTCTCACTGTCTAACTCTGACTGTCCAAAAAAACAAACAAAAACAAACAAACAAAAACCCCAAAATCATGGTATTGTAATAAAGTGTTATGATGATGATTTAAATTCACTGATCTCTGATTTTTTTTAAAAAGATTGATTTATTTATTTGAAAGTCAGAGTTACACAGAGAGAGAAAGAGAGAGAGAGAGAGAGGTCTTCCATCTAATAGTTCACTCCCCAATTGGTCACAATGGTTGGAGCTGTGCTGATCCAAAGCCTGGAGCCAGGAGGTTCTTTCAGGTATGCCACATGGGTGCAGGGGCCCAAGGACTTGGGCCATCTTCTACTACTTTCCCAGGCCATAGCAGAGAGCTGGATCAGAAATGGAGCAGCCGGTCTCAAACCAGTGCCCAGGCCAGGGTGTTAACCCATTGCACCACAGCACCAGCTCCCCCACCTTTTTAAAGATTTTATTTATTTATTTGAAAGAGTTACACAGAGAGAGGAGAGGCAGTGAGAGAGAGAGAGAGAGAGAGATCTGATTTTGCATAATGAATAACTGCTTGTTAAAGTCGTCATCCAAAATGCCATGTGCTCAGTTTTCTATGGACACGTCCAGGGCAGCTCTGTCTCGGAGACTACAGCCTCGATGAAAAAGCCACAACACGATGTTCTTCATTCTCCTGCCTCACCCTAAGGAGTCAAAGGCATTTCAGAAAAGCTCAGTTTCCTCCTCTTTATTTTATTTTTAAAAATAGTTTCTTTTCTTTTTTTTTAGATTTTTTTTTTATTTGACAGGTAGAGTTACAGACAGAGAGACTGGTCTTCCCTCCATTGGTTCACCCCCCCAAATGGCCACTACGGCTGGCGCTGCGAGGATTCGAAGCCAGGAGCCAGGAGCCTTTTCCCGATCTCCCATGCGGGTGCAGGGCCCAAGCACTTGGGCCATCCTCCACTGCCCTCCTAGGCCACAGCAGAGAGCTGGACTGGAAGAGGAGCAACTGGGACTAGAACCCAGTGCCCATATGGGATGCTGGAGCCGCAGGCAGAGGATTAACAAAGTGAGTCATGGCGCCGGGCCCTCCTCTTTATTTTTTTGTATTTTATAAGTTGAAACTTTCTTGTTCAGGAATGGCACATTCCATGGCAGCCACAGTCTGTACAAGCGTCCCTATGTATGGCTCAACATAGTAGAGCCAACGACACACCGAAAACTGGCCGAGGTGCAGAAGTATTAAGACAGTGGTGTCCCAACATATTTGAAAATACTCCTATTAAATTATCTCTACAACCTATTGCAATTTGATTTATCATCTGCTGTTTCTACAGAATAAATGAACCCATTAAAAACAAACACACTGTAGATATTTATTTTGAGACTACAACTTCTCTGGGGAGCCTGCAATTCATGGAAGCAGAGACACTGGGAGGAAGTAACAAATTGAAGTCCCCGCATTCTAATGAAGGATTGGACCTTCAGTTCTGCTTAAACAAGCCGGAGGAGGAGGGGAAATGAAATGAAAGACGTGATTATTTTTCAGGTCGTTAATATGTAAGTCAGTAGCAGAATTTTTCACAAGTTTTAAGTGCGTTTTTTTTTTTTTTAGTAGATTTGGAAAATATGTTGTTACATCAAGTTTATTGTTGTATGGTCACATAAGCAAGTAACTGATAGAAAAATGGATTATCTGCCCATGAGGCACTATGGCTAACAATAGGCCAGAGAAATATCTATTTATAATGACAGGATTAGCTTCTGAGTGACCAGGCTGCCTACTGGACTTACATAGGAGAAGAGCGAAACAGATGCAGGCTTGCCCAGAATGTGATTCTCAGGACAGATGAATTATATTACAGCTTATGGTATGTTTCACAGACTTGTAAACAAGACATAATTTTATCTGTGATTAACATGCTCCCTCTATGAAGATTTTATTTAAAGATTTTATTATTTATTTATTTGAAAGTCAGAGTCATACAGGGAGAAGGAGTGGCAGAGAGAGAGAGAGAGGTCTTCCATCTGCTGGTTCATTCCCAATTGACAGCAATGGCCAGAACTGCACTGATCTGATGCCAGGAGCCAGGAGCTTCTTCCAGGTCTCCCATGCAAGTGCAGGAGCCCAAGGACTTGGGCCATATTCTACTGCCTTCGCAGGCCATAGCAGAAAGCTGGATCAGAAGTAGAGCAGCTGGGGCTCGAACCAGCAAAAATATGGGATGCCAGCACTACAGGTGGCGGCTTTACCCACTACGCCACAGTGCCAGCCCCCTATGAAGATTTGAAAGCTGCAGCCTCAAACAGTCTGCTATTTCTGAATATCTGAAAGGTATCTTTGGTCATTTTTCACCACCACCACTGAAACACGGTTGTACTTCATTGTCACCTGTCTTGTTCAAAGGAATGAATTTGAGGCCTTAGGATCTGCTTGACACATTTGTCACTATTGAAAAACCTCCTTGGGGGGTTGGCATTGTAGCACCGTAGGTTAAGCTACTGACTGTGATGCAAGTATCCCACATGGGCACCGGTTTGTGCCCTGGCTGCTCTGCTTCCAATCCAGCTCCTTGCTAATGCCCAGAAAAAGCAGCAAAAGATGGCCCAAGTGCTTGGGTCCCTATCACCCACATGGGAGCCCCTGGTGAAGTTCCTGTCCTCTGGCTGAAGCCTAGCCAGTCCTGACTCTTGCTGTTATTTGTAGGTGAATCCACAGACAAAACATTTCTCTCTCTCTCTCTCTAGTTCTACCTTTAAAATAAATAAATAAATCTTTTTAAAAAAACTACTAAATAATAATTCTCCAAAATAATAGCAGAGACCTTTCACACAAACACACCCAAAGCCACTTGGCTTGCACCTCTTCCTAATTAACTCAGGACAACAACAAAGTATAAAAGCTCTATCCTTCGAAAGTCACTGTCAAGAAAATGAAAAGGTAATTCACATTCTGAGAAAAATGCTTGCAAATCCACAGTTAATGAAAGTCTTGGGTTCAGAACAAAGAGCTAATTCAAAACTCAAAGGCCACCTACTGTAATTTTTTTAAAAATGGGCCAGAGATTTGAAGAGACACCACACTATAGATCATTCATATGGCAAATAAGTACTTAGACATAAATATTCACCCCCTTTAGTAATTAGGGATGTGCAACCCACAGCTACTTTGCACCTCTTGAAATGGATATAATTCAAAGATGCAGAGTAATGAAGCCTTCCTATACTGCTGGTGGAAATAAAAAAATGGCACAAACCAACATGCAAATCTGTGTGGCTGCTTCTCCAAAAATTAAACTTGGTTACTTACCATACATCGAGCCATTCATGTTCACCCAAGAGAAGTGAAGTCATATATCCAAGCAAATACTAGCACATATGTGTTCATAACATTTATTTTTGCTTAGTACAGACACATCATATGAATTCATAGATTTGTTAGATATTCTGCTAAATGTTTTCATTGCAGTGCTGGCTTGTTGCAGTGCACTGGGGTCTATTCATCTGCTCTGTCAAAGTTCCTTGCACAGCTTATACCTGGGAGTATTCCTGTTGCTTCTATTGTCGTATTCCCTGTATCTAGTTTAACATCAATTCCTGTAGGTTCTGCTGATAAACCAGAGTATGATCTTAACAGATTAGCGGATTGTAATATCATTTTAATAGGCCATGGGTAGAATTTAGAAAAATAAATAAAAGATTTGGGCATTTGGTGTAGGCTGACATTCCTCAGGACACCCACATCCCATATCAAAGTGCCTGGGTTCCAATCCTTTCTCATTCTTGATTCAAGTACCTGCTGATGTGCACCTTGAGAGGCAGCAGATAATGGCTTAAGTATTTGAGTTTCTGTCTCCCAAGTCGGAGGCCCAGTTAAGAGTTTCAGGCTCCTGGCTTCAGCCTGTCCTAGCACTGGCTGATGCTAACATCTGGAGAGTAAAACATTGGATGGGAGATTCTCTCTCTCTCTCTCTCTGCCTTTAAAATAAATAAATAAATTTTTTTGACAGGCAGAGTGGACAGTGAGAGAGAGACAGAGAGAAAGGTCTTCCTTTACCGTTGGTTCACCCTCCAATGGCCATAGCGGCCGGTGTGATGCAGCCGGCGCACTGTGCTGATCCAAAACCGGGAGCGAGGTGCTTCTCCTGGTCTCCCATGCGGTGCAGGGCCCAAGGACTTGGGCCATCCTCCACTGCACTCCCGGGCACAGCAGAGAGCTGGCCTGGAAGAGGGGCAACGGGGACAGAATCCGGCGCCTGGACCGGGACTAGAACCCGGTGTGTCGGCGCCGCAGGCGGAGGATTAGCCTATTGAGCCACAGACCACGCGCGCCCCCGCCAAGCCCCGGCCGACAAGGCAACACACGGAGAGTGACGCGGAAGGCACGCGCGCACACGGGCACGCGCGCCGGTCCCCAACACGAAGAAAGAGCGACGGACCGCCAGCCCGGCCCGGCGGGACCCTCCCCCGACACGGAGGGGGGAGGCGCGGGCCGCGGCCATTAGGGCCGAAAGAGCAGCGCCCCGGTCCCCACCGCGGGGACCGGCAGACCCACCAGCACGCCTACGCTTCCCCCCAACAGAAGGGGCAAACGGGGCGCACGGGTGGGGTACGCCACCCAACGCACTCAGCACAGGAGGGACGGCGGCCGGGGGATAACGGTACCCCGTCAGAAGGCACGCCCCTCTCTCGGATCGCTAGAGAAGGCATTCCTCACCGAAGGTGGGCCACTCCCCCACCCCAACCGCCCCCGCCGGGCCGGCAGGAGGCAACCAAGGGAGCGCCCCCCAGACCGATCGCGCGAGGGGTCTGCGGTATAGGCAAGAAACGGCCCCTCGAGCACCCGCGGCCAGGGCCAGCGCAGGCTGCGCTCGTTACCAATCCCGTTCCCACAGCCCCTGGGCGCCCGCGCTCCTCAGGCCCCGGAAGCGCACGGGTACGCGACAAACGGGGAGCGGGACCGGACCACACCGCGACCGCTCGACACACCTGGCACACACCACCCCACGGGGGCAGGGTGGCAAGCGCGCAGGCATGCGCCCACCAAGCCGATACCCCACACACACGTGGGGACGACGGCACGACACCGGCAGCCTCCCTCCAAGCGAGGCGAAGCACACACGTGTCTCCTTCTCTTACCGCCTCGACCCCCCCAAGACTCCCAAGGGGCACAGGCAGCAGCGACACCCGGGAGAGGGCGCTGGGGGGACAGGAGCAACACCACCACTCGGCTTCAGGCACCTGAGGCACAACCTGGACCACTCCAGGGGCACCGCACAGGCTCGCGCGGAGGCAGGGCGACGGCGAGCGATGCCCCGCCACGTCACAGGACCCCGACCCCCCGCCATCGCCACGAGGCAGAAGGCGGGAGAGCGGAGGTCGGGCCGGTTTCCGCACCCCTGCCGCCCACACACCACCCACAGGTGGGGAAGGCAGAACGAGGGGCCTGCAGGCCAGGAGAAGCTCAGCAACCTTGGCCATGAACGGCCGTCCCTCGTCTGGAGCGGCTTAATTCCGGCCCTGGAAGCGCCACAGCACCACATCCATCGTTCAGGTAAATCATTATTTTATTAATTAATTTTTTTAAAGAAATACACTCATTAATCTTTACAGAAATCTTCTCAAGCCAATGTTTAGTTATGTTCCTTTGCTTTGTGCCTTAGACGCTTTCACATCCCAGGTTATATTGATATATCTGGCTTCACCTTTCTTGCTAGAAATGTATTCCTTGAAAGCTATCACTGTGTTGAATAACTTATAGGATTTTTTTATTTGAGAGAGAGAGAGAGAGAGAGAGAGAAAGAGAGACTAATTTACTTCCCAAACGCCTACAATGCCTAGGAGCAGGTGGGCCAGGCCAAAGCCAGGAGCCACTATTTAGATCTGGGTCTCTGACATAGGGGCAGGGGAATGCAGCTCCTTGAACCATCACCTGCTGCCTTCCTTGGTCCTCATTAGCAGAAGACTCATAGTGAGAGTGGAGCCAGGACTTGAACCCAGGTACTCCAATGTGGAACATAGGTAGCTTCACTGGCATCTAACCACTGTGCCACACTCCTGCTTTGCGTTTGGGGTTCTTAATGGTGCCTATTCCAATATGAAGGGCTCTGGACTAGATCATGATTGTCAAAACTGAATTAGTAGGAACAGGTCAGATTCTGGATATATTTTGAATCTAATGACCAGAGGGTTTGTGGACATTTGAGATGTGGATTGTACAAGAGGAAATTCACAAAGTCTCCAAAAAATTTTGGGCTTAGCAAATTCCTGAGTCATGTCATCTACTCAGAAGGAGCCAGTGCTGTGGTGCAGTGGGTTAAAGCTCCAGCCTGCATCCCATATGGGTGCTAGTTTGAGCTGGTTCCAATCCAGCTCCCTGCTGATGCACCTGGGAAAGCAGCAGAAGAGGGCCCAAGTCCTTGGGCCCCTGCACTCACGTGGCAGTCCTGGAAGAAGCTTCTGGCTCCTGGATTTAGATCAGTACAGCTCAGGCCATTGCGGCTATTTGGGGTGTGAACCAGCCAATGGACGACCTCTCTTTTTCTTGCTCTCTCTCTTTCTGTAACTTTCTCTTTCAAATAAAAAACAAATCTTAAAAATACAAAAGAAGATACAGATTACTGAGCATACTGAGGGATGAGGAGGGAGGCTGACTTTCTTGTTTAATTCCCCTATTTTGAAATCAACATTTTATTTTATTCAGAATAGTTAACCCCAGTCTGGTGTGTGTGATGGTATATGGGCACAGGGTCTCTAAAGAGGTATGTACATTAGAAGAAGGCCATTACATTGGGCCCTAATCCAATATGTCTGGAGTCCTATACTTAAAAATACATATATATGTATATACATTTATTTATTTTTTTATTTATGGAAAGATACAGAGAGAGAGAGAAGGTTTGGTTTACTCCCCAAATGGTTGCAATGGCCAGGGCTGAGCCAGGCAGAAGCCAGAAGCCAGGAGCTTCATCCAGGTCTCCCACATGGATAAGTAGGGGTCCAAGTACCTGTGCCAACCCCTGCCGCTTTTCCCAGGGGCATTAGCAGGGAACTGGATCAGAAGCAGAGTAGCTAGCACTCTAGCCAGCATTCCTGGCACACAGGCTTCAACAAAGGTGATCTAACCTGCTGACCACAGCACTCACTGCTAATATCCTTTGTCCAACTACAAGATCAGGACGCAGACACACACAGGGGGAAAACACATTGACCACACCGCTCTGACAACGAGTGAGGCCTTGGAAGACATCAATCCTGCAGACATTTTGATCTTGAAGTTCCAGCTCCTATAATTTTACAGAAATGAATACCTGTTGTTTGTTGTTTTCCTACCCCTTGAAGTAGAAGGTTTCCCCAGATTATACAACCACGATAACCAATCTCAGTCCAAATGTTCTAATAGTGACGAGAAATAACTTTCATGTTTTGAAATTGGAACAAAGAAAGGAGGCCTGACTGTTGAGGATGGCCAGCTTCCTGAGGCCGGTTGTGAGTCTCCACTGTGGTTCATCTGGTCCTCTGCATGGCCCTCTGGTATACTCGGCACCACAGTATCACGGGAAACAGAGCCTGCCCTTTCTTTCACAGTCTGCATCTTTCAGTCACACGTTTAAACCTGGACTGAAAACGTACACGTGAGACAGGCATGGTGGTGTAGCAGTGAATTCACCACTTGGGGTGATTGCACCCCATAGCAGAGTTCCACTAGGAGTGCCAGCTACTCCACTTCCGATTTAGCTTCCTGTCAGTGTGTTCTGGGAGGGAGCAGATAAGATCCACGTGTTTGGGCCTCTGCAACCCTCGTGGGAGACATGGAAGGAATTCCTGGCTCCTGGCTTAGGCCTATACCATCCCTGGCTGTGGCTGATACATGGGGAGTGACCAGCAGGTGGGGGATCTCTCTCCCCACCACCCTTCCTATTGCTCTTCCTTTTGAATGAATAAATCAACCTTTAAGAAAAGAAAACAAGCACTGAAATGTATTAGCTTTGTGGCCTGTTGATTATCTGAGCCCACGTTTTCTTCTCTGTAATAGGAGGATAATAACTGCATTTCTCCCTTAGATGTGGAGCTCAAGAAAAAAACAAAAAACCCTCCATCTGCACTCAGAATGCTGATTACTGCAGGCTGGTGGCAGTGGGAGGGATAGTGAGTTCAGATTAAGAGAAACAAGAGGGGAAGCTGAGTGTGGCTCACTAATGACTAATGACAATAAATATACTAATATAAGATGTTAATAATATGGAAAGCCGGGTGTGGTGTGTAGAACTCTGCACCACCTCACGGTTTTGTTTTGTAAATGTAAACTCTCTCTCTCTTTCTCGCTTTCTCTCTCTCTGTCTCTCTTCTTCCCTCTCTCTCTGTAACTCTTTCAAATAAAAAAAAAATTAAAAAAAAAATCTTACCAGAAAAGTATAAAAAATATGTTCAGCAATATCAAACTTACTCTGTTAGCATAATAAGGTTATGAAAATGAAATTTGTGGCCGGCACCGCAGCTCAATAGGCTAATCCTCCGCCTTGTGGCGCCAGTACACCGGGTTCTAGTCCCAGTCGGGGCGCCGTATTCTGTCCCGGTTGCCCCTCTTCCAGGCCAGCTCTCTGCTATGGCCAGGGAGTGCAGTGGAGGATGGCCCAAGTGCTTGGGCCCTGCATCCCATGGGAGACCAGGATAAGTACCTGGCTCCTGCCTTCGGATCAGCGCGATGCGCCGGCCACGGCCATTGGAGGGTGAAACAATGCCTAAAGGAAGACCTTTCTCTCTCTCTCTCTCACTGTCCACTTTGCCTGTCAAAAAAAAAAATGAAATTTGTTATCAGTATTTTTTATATATAATCTTCTTACTAAACCCATAATAATTACTTTAACTCTTGGACATACATCTGACATTGCCTATAGTTGATAATATTGAGAAATTTATGGCTTGTGGTGTGGTATAGCCAGTGAAGCCACCACCTGCAATGCCAGTATCCCATATGGGTGCCAGTTTGAGATCTGGCTGTTCCACCTCCAATCCAGCTCCCTGCTAACGCACCTGGGAGAGGAGTGGAGGATGGCTCAAATACTGCCACATGAGAGACCTGGAAGAAGCTCCTGGCTCGTAGCTTTTGACTGGCCCAGTTCTAGCCATTGAACCATTTGGAGTGAACCCGTGGATGGGAGATATCTCTCTCTCTCTTTCTCTCTAATTTTGACTTTTAAATAAATAGATTTTTAAAAAAAATATTGAGTAGGTATGTCCTCAGAAGAAACTATTTTACCAGAGCCAAATCTACTGTTTTTTTAAGTGTCTAAGGATCCTGAGGGAAGGAAATTCCCCAACCCCAGGCCACTTCAGCCATCCTGTCCAAACTTTAGTAGAGGTGGGGAAGGGGAAGGGGAAGTTACTGAGAATAACTTGTAAAGTTCAGTCTAGAGACACAGGCTCGCTAAGACAAAAATCAGACCATAGGAGTACAGAATGCTGCCTCTCTCTCTACAATTTAATTATTAATAAAGGTCATTTACATTGTCTGACTATCAAGAAAAAATAACAGGTATTCTAAAAGTAAAAAAAAAATAAAATATAAATCATTTTAAAAGGCAGTGCAGGAACTGGTGCTGTGGTGCAGTAGGTTAATCCTCCACCTGCAGCACTGGCATCCCATATAGGTGCCAGTTCTAGTCCTGCCTGCTCCTCTTCCAATCCAGCTCTCTGCTATGGCCTGGGAAAGCAGTGGGAGATGGTCCAGATGCTTGGGCCCCTGCAAACACGTGGCAGACCTGTAAGAAACTCCTGGCTCCTGGCTTTGGAGAGGCTCAGCCCCAGCCATTGTGGCCATTTGAGTAGTGAACCAGCGGGTGGAAGACTTCTCTCTCTGTCTCTTCCTCTCACTGTCTGTAACTCTACCTTTCAAATAAATAAATAAAATCTTTAAAAAAAAGGTAGTGTAATCATCAGAACCAGACACAGCAGTGATGTTGGAAGTATCAGGCTAGAAATTTGAAAGAACTATGATTAATATATCATGTGCTATGGGACTTAAATGCTAAAGTAGACAGCAAACAAAAACAGATGTGCAATGCAAGCAGAAAGATGTAACTCTTAACCATAAAAAGTAATCAAGAAGAAATGTTAGAGATGAAAAACACAATAACAAAAATGAAGAATGCCATTGATGGGCTAGTAGTAGATTTCACATGGAGGATCTCTGAACTTGAGGACACATCAATAGAAATGTCCAAAACTCCAAAGTAAAGAGAATAGACCACCCACACACAAAATGAAGGACACCATATCAAAGGACTATGGGACAACTAAAAAAGGTACAACTCATGCATAATGTGAATACTAGAAAAAGACATTGAGCAGGAGAAGCAAAAAGTGTTTGAAGCAATAATAACTAGGAATTCCCCCAAACTAAAATCAGATACTATATCAGAAATCTAAAAACCTCAGAGAAAACCAAGCTGTATAAATGCAAAAACAAGGCAAGCAAGCAAAGACAACAGAGACACAGCAAGGCATATCATATTCCACAAACAGAAAATGAAATACAAAGGAATAATCCTGAAA